ACTTGAATTCTTTTACATTTCCAATTGCATTATTATTATAATAAAATACCTTTTTTGACATTGGTCCTTTAGAAAACACTAGAATTTCTGTCTTACTAACATTAACATTAAGTTTCCATTGTGAACAATACAAATAAAAATCATCCAAAGCCTTTTGCAGATCTACATCTGTTTCAGCCAAGATAACAGTATCGTCTGCATATAACAAAATGAAAAGCTTAAGATACACATATAATTCTTCTTCAATAGCGTCAGTTATGCTTTGTAAACCAATAATATTTCTGTCCGAGAGAAACTCTTCCAGGTCATTAATATATAAGGAAAATAAAAAAGGCGATAGATTTTCACCTTGGCGAACACCAACATTACAGTTAAAATAATCTGTGATTGTGCCATTCAGATTTATCATAGATTTAATTCCTATATACATATTTTTGATGTAGTTAAAACATTTTCCACTAACCCCACTCTTAAATAGCTTATGCCACAATCCAGATCTCCAAACCGTATCAAAGGCTTGTTTAAAGTCAATGAAAGCGCAGAAAAGTTTTTTCTTTCTTTGAAAAAAAATCTGACATAAAAACTGTAAGGTAACTATATGATCTAAAGTTGAGTACCCTTTTCTAAATCCTGTTTGACTCTCATTAATTAAGTTTACTTCTTCAGCAAATGTTTCCAAACGTGTGCATAAAATACTTGTAAATAATTTTCCTAAGCAGCTCAATAATGTTATGGGTCGATAATTTTCTGGTTGTGTTGGATCACCTTTATTTTTATAAATAGGTTTAACAATGCCAATTAACCATTCATCCGGGACGGTACCTGAATCAAATATTAAATTGAACAGTTTTCTATATACGGGTAAAAATATAGTAATTGTTGAAGTAATATGTTCATTAAACACTTTGTCAAAACCACATGCTTTGTTATTTTTAAGCTTTTTGACACTGTTCAGTATTTCTTCATCACTGATAGCACAGTTTAGGATATCAACTGAAAAATCATTTGAAAAATTCGCTACATCTTCCTGTTCATCTAAGTTATCAGGAACAACATTACAATTTTTATCTTCATTCATATCTTTCAAAAAATTATACATGTCATTTATATCAACAGCACATTTCTTATTTTTATCGGATGCATTCAAAATTTTCCAATAATCTTTGGGATGTGTAGAATGCAAATCTTTGAGTTTTTTGGCAATATTCTTTCTATTATTTTTTATGCTCTCATCCATTGTTTTCTTATATATTTTACTCATAGCATTCAAATTACGCTTGTTTTCGGTCGATTTATTTCGATTATACATACGTTTAGCGAGATGAAACTTTTTTCTAGCGTTTCTACAGTCCCGATTAAACCATTGCTTATTACAATTATTTTCAACCCCAGCCCTTCTATCTTTATGGTACCCAAATGTTTCTTTTGCCGCACTAAAGAACACGTCACATATATCGCGTGTTACAAGATTGATATTTTCCTTTGTTACATGAGTATTATCACCGCCTAAATCATCAAGTTTACTTTCAATGTTATTTACAGCAAGTGTTTCAATATTACCACAGAACTCCACTGATTTGTTAGGACACCATAATTTTACACCTGAGTGATTTACACCTGTGTCGTTTGAAATAACAGTCTTACAACTAGATAAAGATACTGATAAGGCATTATGTACATCAGAATATAGGTTACAAAATTCGACAACATCAAAATCACTAAACAAATCAAAAATATGCACACTGGCTAAAACATAATCTACAGTGCTGCTATTTTTACAAGTTAAATCTCCCTTAAGTTTGTCGTTGCCTACACGACTATTTGCAATATACATTTCATTATTCCTACAAAAATCAATCAATTTATGCCCATAGTTATTTACCGTGGTGTCTTTAACAGTTCTTTCTAATGGTATATTACATTTTTCAAATATCGTGGATCTTGTTAAAATATCAGTATACATGTTTTCATTACAATTGTTTTGGTTCAATACAAATTCATCAGCTGTGAAAAAATCATTCATATTGCCTACTCTGGCATTAAAGTCACCAAGCATACAAAAATAATTTGAATCTTTATTAAAGTTGAGGAAATATTGTTCAATTTCTATGAAACAATCAGGGGAAGAATATCTACTTCCTTCTGGAGGTATATAGACAACTCCGCAAATTATATCTTTAGTAGTATTAAATAAAATTTTGTTTATCTTGAACCACATAACATATTTACAATCTGTATTTATCATGCTAACATATTTCACAACAGTATCTTTAATAGCTACAATAATCCCCCCAGATCGGGTATTGGAAAGTTTACGTCTATTTTTCATATAAGTAACAAATCCAGGTATTTGTATTTTATCAGAATTATCAGTTTTAGTTTCTGTTAATCCAATTATATCATATTTTGAGATGAAATCAACAAATTCCCTATAATTCAGTCTGTTTTTTATCCCACATACATTTAATGACAAAATTTTTACATTATTTGCAAATTGAGCATTACGGCGCTGGGTCTGTTCCTCCGCGCGATCCTATTGTCTGTTATGATCCGGAGATGATCCATACCGGGCTCTTTTGTTATCCCGTCTAGGCGTCTGGGTTGGAGCTCCTTGCTCTTGTTGTGCTACTCTTGCGTAACTCTGAGTCACTGGGGCGGATTCAGGAGGTGCGATGTATTTAACTCCATTTATGAAGAGAGTGTCTCGAACTAGCTTTACACGTTTGTGGTCGAGTTTTGCTTGGCGCATGACTGGATACAGTTTTTTTCTCCTATTCTCGATCTCTTGGGGAAATTGTTCATTCACCCACACATTCGTTCCATGTAATCTTCGGGCTGCATTTTGCCGGATGTACTCCCTATCCTTATAGTAGGTAAATTTGGCTACTATATTTCTAGGCCACTCGCTGAATTCATTTGCTCTGCCCATTCTGTGCACTCGCTCGAAAGGAATGTCATAATCAAGCCTGAATCTCCGACGTATTAAGTTCTGAATCACAGCCTCTGTATCCTCATCCTGGTCCTCTGGGATCCCTGAGAATACCAAGTTATCCCGCATTGATCTGGCTTTGAGATCCGTCACAGATTCTTCTAGTCTTTCCTTGGCTTCTTTTAACGCTTGGACTTCTGATGTCAATTTTTCTTCTAATGTTTTCTGAGTAACTGTATACTCGTCCAGGTTTTTCTTGACATAATCAACGGTCTTTTTATTTTTGTCTGCTGTTTCTTTCACCGAGTCAAACACATTACCTAATGCGCTCACATTAGTTTCAAGCTGTCCAAAATCATTTCTAATCTTTTTCACATCAGTATCAAGCTTTGAAGAGGATGATTTAAGTTCACTTATTGATGTCTGTATAGTCTCTAATGAGGTCATTCTTTTTTCAATTTCACACAATCGTGTCTCAAACCTTTCATTTTTTACTTCAATATTCGATAGTTTTGAATCCATCTGAGTAAGTAATGTATGAATGGTTGACAGTGAGATTTCGCCCTCATTAGATTGCCCAAAAAGTACAGTACGGCTCTGTGCCAGGATCTCTGAAGTTTCAGTCGCAGACATTGCAAATAATGAGTATAATACTGTAGTCCAATACTCTAATGTAATATTAAAAGAGTAATAAGATGTTGACGCAGAATAAATCAGCAGTTCATAACTATTGTCATTAAGAAACGTGAGTTGTTCTCATGAATTCTTACACTCGTTCTACGGGAAAACACCACATAATCATCAAAATCACCATTTCGGAGCATTAAAATACAATGCAAAGTGATCAGATAGATCAAATAGACTCTCTTATGGATTAACACAATAACTATGCCCTCTCAATCTCAAAAATATGAAGTTACTTTGATGTTTTTGTCGGAGCCTCTTGATAGACGACTTACCGCTTCGAATGACCTTCACCTTCACACACACACCCAAGGTTTGGCGTTCAGTGATTAATCTGTAGATAATGCAAACTACTGAAACTAAATTAATTACGGTTGATTAGTTTAATTGATTATCGATAGGGGGATATATTCGATCGTACAAGAGTTATCTACATACAAGGTAAACTAGACAGGTAGGTGAAACTTTTATTATTTAGTTTGTTTTCCAATATTTATTCGTAAAAATAAAATTCTCATTATCTTAGCAATATTTCGGGTAAAAAAAAGAAAGAACTGTAGAATTTTATTTATTTTCTAAAGAGGTATAATAAGTTGTGAGCGTTTGTGAATTTTAAATTCTGTCAAAAGATATTGCGTTCCTGATGCGATGTCATCGCAGGAATTTATTTCGTATACATCATCACAGACTCTTAAAAAGCATATCTGCTTAATTTCTAAGTCCTTTTTATTTCTCTTCAATAATATTGTATGCTCAAGTGAAACTTAGTTGAATTCAATTGAAAACATCTCATGAAAAAATAAATAAATTCGCCTTACACACTGTTTATTTGTTCTTTGAAAACTGAATTTATCTTTTTTTTAAAAATAACGGTTTGAAAAAAAAAATACTTACTATACATCTGCAGATAAATCCAGAACGATACTGAATAAGGTGGAGATGCTTTATCTATATTACTTTATTATTTCCGACTTTTGTGAACTTCATGCACTGTCTCAATATAATTATTTATGCATTTCATGTACTTATATTTCCAAATAAGGTTTTCCGAGGTTAATAACTTCTGACTGCATTCAAAGCTCCTCAGAATTCAGGAACGTTCCTTCCCCCTTCAACGTTCCTCCCCCCTTCCCCCGTCCAAAATTTTATGTTTTCTCTCCATAATGAATTAAGAGTTGTGAATTTTGGACCACTGACATTTTAGCTGATATGTGGACTAATAAATCATAAGAAGAGTTAAAAGATAATGGTATCTTTTTTTATAAATATACTTTTATACAGTATTTATTAATTCAATCGAACCCCCCCCCCCCCCCCCCCGCTATCCATTTCTCTCAATAAGCAAAAACGTCGATATGCTGCCTCATTATAATGTGACTGTTTCTATAGTTACCTTTCTTTTTTAGGATGGCCCGTATTTTGATGTTACTTGTATCGCTGAGTTTGAGTGGGTTTGCTTTATCTCAGGAGCCAGACAGTAACTCCACCACAGTAGATCCGCCGATCCAATCCGAGGTACCCAGGGATCATGCAGACGTTCAAATTCTTTACACGGACGAGTTGATGAAGGTCATAGAGAAATACGGACTGACTGATGACGACATAATGCACGTCACTAATAAGTTCAAAGAGGGCAATCCTCCCACTGTGAAGAAACTCATCAAAAATCAAGAAACCGGGGACGAAGAGGTAAAGAGACATTAGGGGGGCGACCATTTAATTCTGAGGAGGGGGAGGAATTAGGCTTTGGAAATAAATTATCTGCATGCCAGTAAGGCTTGCCTTGTCCTACTACCCCTCCTCCCCACGAAATAGAGATTTAAAGGTTGGCAATCCCCCTCCCTCCGTTTTTTTTTGTCAGACTTTTATCTTCTGAAATAAAGAAGAAAATAAATAATCTCTCCCCGATTATCTTGGAAATAAATAATTCTGTCTTTAACCGTAATGAAAATAAATATGACCCGAAAAAAATGCTATCAGCTCTCCCCCTCCTCAGAATCATACATGTATGTGATCATCCCCTAACTTGATCCTCATCCAATTTCAAGTTTATTCAATTCATGGTCCCCATGTGTAAGGAAGAGGTTCGCGGGAGGCGGGGAGGGGGGGGGCAAAATATATCAAAAGTTTGTGTCGGTAGAATACTTTTTTTTTTTTTTTTTTTTTTAGAAAATAGGGCCACAATTTATCATATTGTCGTTTAGTAATAATACAGTATTGAATTATTAGAAATTTATATAATGAGTACAAAACAATACATTTAAGTGACGTATTCCAACTTGGCCTATGCATATGGTGCTTCTTATCCTAATTCTTTCGTTATACTACAGGCAGGGATACAGATGTTCAAAACAACTTGGTATAATTTTTAGATTTATTAAATACATGTATTTTTTTCCAACTACACTTTTGTCTTGACGGCTCGACGTTGCACCAGCTATAATTAACAAATAACAAGTTGGAGTAAAACAAATTAACCACAAAGGAGAGTAAGTGTAACGTAAAGGCGTGACATCTTATAGATGGACAATTACATCAATATATCAGATAAATAGCATTGTTACTAAAATCACCCGTAAATCCCCGTCGTGGTCAAGGTGTAAAAATTATCTTTCATGGGATTAACTCTGTTTAACGCCAAATGATAATTCGATAAACTGAAAAAAGATTTTCATGGAATTTTAGACATTTTGCTAAACAAATGTGCCAAATCAGAAAACTTTCTTGAGAATTATTTAAAAAAATAACCGTAAGAAAATTTAAGTAAGAAGACAGTAAAAATGATGCTGAAATTTTGGAATCTTGGATTTTTTTTCATCACGACAAAATTAATTTTAGAAAACTGTTTTAAAGAGAATTATTTTTTCCGTCCTTGAAGGCATATGCAGGATCCATTGCTCAGTTTGCAAATGAATGTAGATACTGCAAGAATTACCAAAATACTCAAATTTCTATCTAAAATCCAATTTGTTCATGTTTTAACAACTTCAGATAAATTAGTTCTTAAAACGTGTCACTTGTCTAACAAAACTGCTTGAAAAATGTTGCTGCCTTTAGAATTCCCTCCCTTTTCTCCGGAATTATTCCCCTTCTCTACAGAGTTACTGCCCTTCTCCCCTGAATTGATGCCTCTTTTTCCTTCTAAGCTGAGCCCTTTTGAATTTTAATATGAATCAGCTTATAAGAGTCATCAATCTATAAATCCTTGATATAACATTAATTTATAATTTGAATATTAAGCGACATATAAACCTACGCATCCATAATCGCTATTTAAAGCATTATAAGTTTGTAGTTTTAGTTTTAAAGATTGACATTAATGGATGAATTTATTTGTGTTTCCAGATGGTCGAAGTAAATCTTAAAAACTTTATTGCTGGAGGTCACGTGACAGATTTGACACCGATTCTTTCTCCAACGGAAGCTCCATCAGAAGAACCAAGCTCTATAGACAATACATTACCCCCAGTAACAAACCTAACACAACCGATACCCGAACCGGAAGTCATGATGCCAACAAGAGAGGAAATTCTGGCTGGTCTCCGGAAACGTGAGCAGGATTTACTGGTAAGACTAGAAGAAAACCGTAAAGACTACGAACAAATAGCCCAGGAATTGATGGAAGTCCGGAAGGAAATAGTTATGAATACTCCTGATGAGTATGACTTGTTAGCAGGTGACGTAGTAACCGGGCCGGATGTCCCTCCCCCAGTTATATTATCACAACCTCCCGAAGTGCCTCCAAGTTCTTTTAGACAAACGCCCCCGGAAATCACTCCTAGACCTTTTAGACAAACGCCCCCGGAAATCAGTCCCGACGATGAACAAATTTTGAATGAGCAAATCGCCCGTGAGAATCTTCGAGCTCAAAGATTGGCAATTCTCCGGAGAATTCTTCGGAGGAACATCCTGAGAAGACGATTGGCAGCCTTGACCGGATTTCCGGCCAGTCTTCCTAGATCTAGAGAATTCTTTGTTCAGCCATCAAGAACCATTCTCATACCGACTCGTCGATTCGGTACACCTCTCATGGTTAGAATTAGCCGCCGGCCTTTATTCGTCATGCCCACTCCGGTCACTGTTCCTGTGGTGCAGCGTCAGCTTCCGGTTGTTGTAGATGTGCGCAATCCAGAAATCGAAACTAGACCTTTTGACCCAATACCACGTGTTACTGATATAGTGGTAGAAGAAGATACACAAGATGATACGGATATACCAAGGCCAGACATCCCCGCTCCAACAGAGAGCGTACCAGATAGTCCAGTTCCGGTTGTTTAACCAAAACAAAACAAAGAAACTAATCATATGACCTCCTAAATTTCCAACGGCAAATACAATGAGTTTTAATAAATAAAAAATGATAATAAAATGGATTTTTTATTTACATCAAAACTGTCTCTAAGTCAGTAAAACGAATTATATGATTTAAAACAATTATTGTTAAAATTGATTTGTATTAATTGTTTTGTTTGTTTTATTTCCTTAGAGTGTAGCTAGGCAGATCATTGGATGATAAAGCCTGACGCTCGTTTTACAAAATGTTCTCAATCGTCAGACGAAAATTTCCTCAATAATATATTTTTTCCCAAAAGTTTTTCATTGAAGTATTGGTTCTTTAACATGTTTCAAAAATGAATAAATAAATAAATAAAATTAAGGTACCTTAACACGGATTTCGACAAGATACCAGAGGATGTTATGTACTACAAATGTATATAATCCTATTAGATATTACTACTATTGCCAATATCACAATTTTTGGCATGTTTATCTTAGAAATTTTGAAAACAATTTAAAAATCACAAGATAATGATAATTATGATTAATTTGTTGTATATTACGAAGAAATACAAAACAGATATATTCGAGCAACGTGTCTATGGCAAGGGTTCTCAAAGTTGACAAATGCACTTTTTGACACATTTGAAACAAGCAAAGTAAAACGTTTATTATTGCTAAGACATCGCGCTGAAGATTAAATGTTTCATATTCACTTAATTTAAAAGTCCATGGTGAATACAGCCAAATTGCCTTGTTACTATATGGAAACAAAAAAGTACAACTCACTTTTGCATCGATTTGCAGTAATTACTTTTTTCACAATACTCTTGAACATGAACAAATGACAGTACATACAAATGATAGAAAATGTACTTAAATGCCTGTTGAAAAAATTATAACATTTACATCTTCCCTATAAAATTGGAACCACAAATATAAACAGAGAAGATTTTTTAGGCCTATTAGATGATTTTTTAGGCCTATTAGATGGAACTTTATTTAGCAAATGAAACGCGATAGTTTTCTAGAGAGTACGAATGTGTGTTATATTATCTTTGTCCGTCATTAATAATTTTTCCTTCATTAGTTGAATGACCAAGGGATCGTCAACTCATGATTTAAAGTCAATTTAACTTAATTTGTCTTCTACAATCATCATCCGTGATCATTCAAGAAATTGATTTGAATCAAGCTAATAGGGTTATATATTAAACTTTTCCCCCTAAAGATTGATACAATTTGGATTATGTTTCTATTGTCGGTAAGACGGTTTTGTTTTTTGGTCCTTTTGTTTTAAATACATGTAATTCCATAAAACAAAGCAAGATTATTTGTTTTTGGAAGAAACAAAAATCGTTGGTTTCAACAATTTGTTTACCTAGGATTTTAAAATTTATTTTTCATTTATATTAGTCCAGAGTGACCAGTATGAAGATCCGTTTTCTCTGCATACTTGTGGTTCTGAATTTCGCTGAACAAAACTCCGTTGCACATTTAATGTCTAAACAAATCTCGAGGCCAAGTCACAGTGTACCCATGCCATTACCCAGAACATCCGGGGATTTCCAGCCACTTACATACGGTCACGAGTTTAGAGGACAGGCCCAGCTAACAAAAAGTTTGGTAGAAATGATAAACCAACTACAAGAATGGTCAAACGACGTGTCTCATATATCAACACAATCTGGACTAAGAGGAAAAGACAACAAAATTCAGAGATTTTTATGCTACTACGATATATTTTGTAAAGAACTTTTATATATCGGCAATGCAAAGCGCCACCTAGAAAATCCTATAGAGGAACAAAGCGAACTGTATCGGCTTTATCTTCCGGTTGGATTTCTTAATCCTCTGCATGTTCAAGAGACAGAGAAAATGTATGCTGTGTTAAATCACGACAGGAGTTATCGTTCTTCTGTCTACCCTTCGACAAGATTGACAGCAAAAGAGACTCATTTGTCGGAGAAAACAACACCTCCGGTCTTATAACATCTTTGGTTCTGATGATATTTTGTTTAAACTTCCTTTGTGAATTTTATGTGAAAAAAAACTTGAATGTAGCGAATGATTTAGCGTTATCCGTGACAGGAAGGATAACTCTTTATAAAGAAACGAAATGAAAACAAAAATCGTAGATTTCGATCATAAGTACACACTGTAACTTTGTGTAACAATTATGTTCGGAAGAAGAATTAGATGAGAGAGAGAGAGAGAGAGAGAGAGAGAGAGAGAGAGAGAGAGTATAAATGGTCATTACATACTACATTTACTAGAATGACCCTGAGTGAAACATTATTTTGATATACTATTTGTGCAGTGTATACATGTATACTGTCGATCACCATATTTTGGCAACACCTTTTTTCCTGAGAAAAATATTTAGGATTTATAAGCGAGAGACACTAGTACTTATTGTTGTATATACATGTATTGTATATGCATATCTTAAAATCAATAAAAACATACGCGAGAATGAATTTTTTGCGAGCAGTCGGTCTCACTTGATTGCGCAAAAATAAAGCCCTCGCAAATAAAACGTGATTTACAGTATGTAAGGGGGAGTCTGGGGTACGCCTGATCCACAGTTTCAAATTGTTTTATAAGAATGAATGTAAAAGCTTTTGGATAAATTCTCTGTTACAAAATATTTATCGACTGATGTAAAAATCTTTAAGACAAAATATCTTTGAATTCACAAAACTTATTTCAGCAAAAAAAAAAAAAAAAAAAAAAAAAAAAAAAGCATACTTATTTAAATAGAGTCTTTTGCTAACAGAATTGCGTTTCAATTTTATATTTTAATTTACAGTTTATGAATTTTATTGGTTGTAAAAAAGTATACAAGAACCTAGTGTACTATCGCATGTTGACAAAATTGAAATAGAACACGCAGTCTGGTTATAACTTAGGATCATCTTATTTCGCGTAATTCTCTTTAACATTGGAATACTAGCAAGCGAAACCCTATGTTTAATTTCATGGTTATTGGTTGAAAACATCTTTGAATATTATGCAATTACAACTCAAATTTTATTTCCGAATTAAAGAACGAGTTAATTAAAACGACTTCTGGGTGTATTGGAATTTGTACGAGTTTGCATTGTTTTCTTGTGAAGTGGTGTGCTACCTTTGTACTTGTATACTGCCATAATCTTCAACCTAAGCGTACATAAAACCTGATACAGTGACGTAATATTGTCAAGAGTTTCTGAGGTTTCCTGGTGCGTCTTGTGATGTTGATTACTTCACACTATCTGTGTCTTGTAGAGTCTACAATATATATATATATATATATATATATATATATATGTGTGTGTGTGTGTGTGTGTGTGTGAGGGTGTGTGATATACGTGTATGACGTGCCGACTGAACACCTTAACTTCCCACATGCAAATGGACACTTCTTGTAAAAGGGAGTTAGAGGGAAGAAATGTTATCTGTTTGACTAAAAATAACAACTAAACATAGAATCAGACTTAATATGTATCGAAAAAGGTTTATTTCATTCCTTGATTTTTCACATACCAAATGAACACTTAACTGATACACAACCAATTGAACACTTTCATTTACACACTATCAACTGAACACTTCTAAAGCACACAGTCAACTGAGCACGTCTGACACACACTGTCATCTAAACACGTATAATACACACAGCCAACTAAGCACATTTAGCACACACACAGTCAACTTAACACCACTGATACACACGATCAACTGAGCACGTCTGACACACACTGTCATCTAAACACATATAATGCACACAGTCAACTAAGCATGTTCAACACACACAGCCAACTATAATCACTTCTTAAAGACATGCATGGTTACCTGTGCACCTCCAACACACAGTCAACTAACCACATGTGACACACACAATCAAATAACCATATCTGATACACGCAGTCAACTAATTAAAAACATCTTAAGTATACGATTAACAATACCATCTCCAGAGTCACCCGTGTGGCGCAGTGCAGGTTAGAGCGTCTTCTCTAGAGTCGCGAAGTAAGGAGTTGATCCTTACGTCGCGGGTTAGAATCCCACTGTGGGACCTAGAGACCGGTCCTTCGGATGAGACCGTATAAACCGAGGTCCCGTGTCGCAGTAGGTGCTGGCACGAAAAGATTCCTCACTGCTAAATTACCGTAAGTGTCGAGTACAGGACAAAATTTGCAGCTCTCCACCGACAAGTGGTGACATTTCCATATAAGTGAAAAAATCTCGGGTGAGACGTTAAACAACATACAAACAAACAAACAAACATCTCCAGATAAAAAAAAATTTAACAAGATAGAAATATTACGTCGATCTGCCCCGTAAACATAGTCAGGTATACATATTCTTTATAGACAAAATTTAGCACATCCCGGAATTCATGATCACTGATCAACCGAATCGTACAAAAAGTACCCACTCATGTGTTTTGGTTTTTCATGGTGAGAACACTTACATTGGAAAACGTTTAATTTTGTCAGTTGAAGCACAATGATATCAATAGAAATGAATCTTTTTTTTAAATTTACTTTGAAAAAGTCCATTAATTTATTTTATTCTGAATTTTAGCACAGCCAAGAAATGTAAATAAACATATTTTGAAATATTTTAAGTAACTATATAGATATATAAGAAGACGTTCTACTTTCCAATTTTTCCGTTTGCACAACTTTCATTCATCGTGCGTTCAACGTCTGTTCACCATGAGCTCATAATGCGCTCATTTCACAGTTTTGCGTTCAGCGTTCACCAACCGCTTGCGTTAACTGTTCACAAAGCATTGTTTTAAATATATTTTATTGAATACACAAAAGGATAGGAAACAAGTTCTTAAAACTAACTAGTTATTTTCTTTATATATTACAATATTTCATGCAAATTAAAGAAAAATAATACAATTGATACAAGTGAAAATGCTATTAAATAACATATCAACTAGAGAATCTACATGTTTCGTCAATAAATATATGAACGTTAACAGCATTAACAGCAGCAAATATACTGCTATTTATCTGTAAAGGCAAATTAACATCATTAATAGTAGATTTATATCAATAGTGACCAGTTCAAGCATGAACAAGCGATTGAAAAG